AAAATATATATACTTCAAGAATCATTTATTGATTTATTTATTTTAATCATTTATATCTTAATTTATTATATTTTAATCTATTTAAGTAGGATATATAGGGGGATTCTACCCCGGGAGCTCCGAGGGGGGAGCGGGGCGGGGGGGTACCCCGCGGCGAGGGGACCGCGGGGAGGAGGGGGAGTACGCGACCTTGACGTCACGCAAGGTGCTGACCTGTCACTACGTGACATGTAACAGATATCTAGGTGCTGACCTGTCATTTTTAGCGCGAACACCTGGACGCGTATGAGTCACGGGGTCAAGCGCCGAAACCTGGCTGATGACTTTCTTATCAAGGTGAACGATGTCGAGGAGTTCCACGTTTATTATTCTACGACGCTTGGCGATCCGCGGGGCGCGGGGAAGGAGATATTCTGCGGCGATCCGCGGGGGCACGGGGAGGGGGAGGACCGCGACGCTACGCGATCCGCGGTGGCGCGGGGAGGTCCGCGGCGCGAGGCACTCCGCGACACATGCATGTAATAGATATCATCGGAAGATGACGATATACAAATGATTAGCGCAGACACAGCTGCGCGCATCCATGGCATGAGTCATGAGGTCAAGCGCCTAAACCTGGCTGCTGACAGCGACTTTCTTGTCTAGATGCATGATGTCAGAGAGTTCCACGTTTAAACTCGCACCTACTGCGTCAGCATGTAATAGATATCACTGAGGATGCCTTTGATTAGCACCGATACCACAGCTACATATTAATATTATTTTTCATGGTATGAGATCAAACGCCGAAACCTGGCTGCTGACAGCGACTTTTTATGGTATATAAACGGTCCGGAAGCCCGCTGTACCACAGTAGGAGATTTTAGACGAGATCGAGAACTAAGAATACGTTGGGACCCACGAACGCATCGTTAGACAAGAAGTTCGTATTTATCATCCAGTTTCTTCGTGTCCTGATAGGCCTTAAGATTTCCTTAGCAAGAATGAATCAGTACGTTCCTCTGAGTATATCGTGCAAGAAACAGTGTAACGTGTAAGTACCATAGAGCTATCATATATTGCATCCATTTTTCCACATTTAATTGTATTTTTTTCAAACTGTTTTAGCAATCGTCGTTACACGCCGTATGTTCCTCAAAGTAGTTATACGCCATCCATTCCTCAAAGTTATACACCATCCGTTTCTCGAGATAAAACTGTTTCGTGCAAGAAACAACATGATGCGTAAGTACCGTGAAATTATCGTATATTCGTTCATACTTTTCATCATTTGATTGTAATTATTTTTACTTTATGTATTCTTTCAGTTCCGATAAACCTTGCTACACGCCTCGTATCATGAGCAGGAGATTCGCCCTGACATCCACTGCATACAAATACTTGGATGTTGGAATCTGCGTGGTATCTGGTGCATCCTATGTGGAAATCATTCTCGGCGACAATCGCGGAAATCGGATGGCGTTAGATTATTCAATGTGGAC